CCAAAACCCCCAAATACGATTTGATTCAATTTAAGGAAGAAGTTATAACAGATTTATCTTCATGTTCGATCAAGTTAAAGAGTATAGAAAACTTGTTTTTAAACTCAAGATCTGAATCACTCCGCTCCACAAGTTAGCTTGATCAAGAAGACTACTTAAATAATTCTCACATGCAATTTTAAAATACAATAAATGCAAAGGAGAAGCTCATGACTTCATAAGCTAAATTTTCATATATCTTAAAATTCAAAATCTGCTTTTACAAACAATGGGTGAACTCGTTGCACTCTTTGACTCTCGAGTCCTTTATTGATTCATATCAAATATATAAAATGAGAAAGAAAAAAAAACTTATGAAATGAGTTTTAGAGAGTCTCTGTTATATAAAGTGAAAATGAACCATTATTACCTAAAATGAAAATGTAATCATTACTATTATATAAAGTGCACGGTAATTAATAATTTCTTTTAATTTTTCTTTTCAAATATTACATAATAAATAAAGGCTAGATGTTAAAATCTCAATTAATCTGAATATATCTCGATGGATTAAAGTATATATTAATATCGTCGATTGAAAATTGGATGTTTTATATTCGAATCCGCACTCCAACATGTTATTGAACTCAAAATTTTAAAATAATAAGAACAAAAGAAACATTTCAACCTAAAAATCATGATATTATCTTTGGGTGGTTTAATTGTGTTTTAGTATTCTTTCTTTTGTAGAAGATAAATTGAGAGAGGGAACACAAAAAAGCAAATAATTTCAACAAGTTGGGCGCCTAGGCACCTCCAAGAGCTACATTAAAATCGTCAGATACTGTCTCACGTGCAATGCACATGGAATTAAATGTTTGTTTTTAAAATATATTAAAAATGATGTTTAAAAAACTAAAATATAAATTTACGAAAACTTAAAAGGCAAAATAAGAAACATACATTCTCCTCCATAGATACATCTATACCATTTGATTGTGATGTTTCATATTGTAGTATGAATCACTCCATATGCGGATGATAACACTCTTCTTTAATTTATGTAAGCACATCCAATGGATTAACTTCTCTCAACGAACATATTTACCTGAATAATTTGCTCTTGTCAATAAATTTTTGAAAATTTAAATGGCAAGATAGGAAAACAAAAATCCTTATAATATGAAAACTAATACAATAATCTAATATGTAAATAATTAATTTAACAAATCAAGTAATAAATATTCATGGTTAAATACTCAAGTTAGTTAATAAAGACATAAACACAAAAATAAACATGAAATAAGGAATTTAAAAGTAGTTAACATATACAGCAACAATCAAGAGTCTATATTACGAAGAATACAAAATTAATAAACTAAAATAAATCATTAATATATTAATATAAAAATGTAATTTTATACTCTACCTCATCATCAAATCAAATAAATTTATGGATTCTTGGATCTTTAGTGTTTCTTTTGCAAATAACAAAAATTTTTTATTTTCATTGCAAGAGAAAAGCCTTTATAAACATTTTGAGAGAGAAAATACACAATTTTATGCATGGTGTTTTCTTTCATGTTATATAGATGTTTGTAATCACACCTATTTAGGAATGGATATATCATTTCATCAATCACACCTGTTGGATTAACTTATCTATCTAAAAGAATACATCGATCTATTATATTATATATAAACAATTATCAATCTCAATCACATCCATATGTGAATGAACACATCACTTCTCTCAACAGATACCTCGACCCAATAGTTGCATCCTAGATAAGTTTCAAGGGTAAAATAGGTATTTATTAAAAAGTGAAATGGCAAAAATGGAACGCAAAGATTCTCATCCATAACCCCATTTATATATAGTATAGATTTTAAAAAGTAAAGCAACACATTTAAATTCTCAAAAAAAAAAAATCTAAATCAGGACCATTTTAACGAATGGAAATAGGACAAAATATCCCTTTAAAAGCCAAACTGAACATAGCTCAAGTGGTTAAGATACCTTTCTTTTTTTGTTTTTGGGAGAGCCATCGGAATTTTATCCTATGGAAATTTGAATCGGGCCATAATGGGCCTCATATGGTCCGGACCCAAATACAAGCCCACTTATCCCATAATGGGCTGGGCTTCCCGTTCAGATGATTCTCTGTTCACTCTCCAGTTTTCCATGATTCTCTCTCTTCTCTTCTCTTATTCTCCCTTTTTTAAAATAAACTCTCTCTCTCTCTCTCTCTTTCCTTCTTTATTTCTTTCTTTTTTGTTTTTGTTTTTGTTTTTTTGTTAATTTGTTTTGGGTGAAACGATTCTTTGGATGAAAAAGAGGAGAAGAATGTGACATTCACATGAAGGGAGGAATTGGACGAAGAAGACAACAAATAATCATTCATCAATTTCTCCCTCCTCAACAGAATATTTTAAAATATAATTTTCTCTTTTTTTTTTTCATTTTTTTAGTTCTCGACTAGGAATCAAACTATTGAACATTAAGACGATAATAGATACTTTATCTACCTGAGTTATATCATATTTATTTATTTTTTACCTTTTTATTAATTAATAGCTTCCATTTTGTTATTACTCTACAAGATTCCGTAAGGTGGATCATTAAATAACGTGATCGAAATAACTTTTTAAAATAGTATTTTCAAAAGCCACTTTTGGCCATGCATCTAAACAAACATTAGGAATAGGAAAAACTACTTTTCAATGGTCCAAAAGTTATGACCAACATGCTTATAAGTCCTAAAGAGGTCGTCGCTCGTCAATATAAAGCATGGAGATTTCAATTCATACCTATAAAATACCGTATTTATGTTCTTTACGTAGCATCATTAAACGTACATTATACAACATTATTTGGTCAAATTTAAATTAATTCTTAAAAACAAAACATTTCTTCTTCTTCCCTTATTCCTTCTAATAATTAAAGAAATTTTTCAAATGGATTTGACAAACCTCCTTTTTCTCCTCAATGTTCTTTGAGAGAGAGCTAATTAATTTATTTTTTTTTCAAATGTTTCTTCAAGATCAAGACACCATGAGTATAGCTTGAAAACCAAGCTCTCTCTCTCTCATAATATTCCATGAGTAGAAGAGAGAGAGAGGTTTAATTTTTATTTATTTATTTTTTTAAATGGTTGGTAATTAAGTTTCCAACCTCTTTTCACCACATTAACTTCTAGAAACATGATCAAAGATGGATCCAACCACTACTAATTATGTGTCTTCTTTAAGAGAAAAAATAATATTCATAGCCATGGACTAGCTTTTGCATGCCCTTCTTTTAAGTTTTAATTTTGTATTTGATTCCATTTCCCTTCTTCACAAATCCCAATATGCTTCACCATCCCAATTTAATGTTAACTTCCCTATTCTAAAATCTATAAGAGTACACACATGCTTATTTATGCCCTATATCAAACTCATTTATTTACCTATGCTACCCCTTTTCAAAATTATTCACTCTCTAGGACTATCGTTTTCGTTTGCCTAAGAAAGAAATTGTGCATCGATGGTGTAAGCAAATTTGTCTTTATGTTTGGGTTTGAAATAACACGTACGAGTGGAGTTGGGAGATTTTGAATTCATGATGAACAAGGGTGTAAGACTATCATTTTCGTATGTCTAACAAAGAAATTATGGTATCCATTATGTAAGCCGATATGTTTTTATGCTTGGATTTGAAATAATACTAGTGGAGTTGAGAGATTTGAACTCATAATAAACAATGATAGAGCAAATATTGAATGGAACGACATTTATCCTTTATTTGTCTAAGGTGAGATTTTTAAGTTTTTCATTTACTTCACCCTGTTCTCTTTCTAAACTTTTAGAAGGGAAAGCTCCTATATCTACAAAGTTAAAATGTAAAATCCTACCTTGACGATGGATACAAAAAATTTTATTTTCATGATATTGTTTTTATTTAAATACATAAAGAAAAAATGTGTGTTATTGTGAAGACCATTTTTCAATATACCTCATTCTCTTTCAAAGTTTCTCAAATTGAAAATTCACATATATATATTATATATATATATATATATGAAGTTAAAATATAAAATTCTACCTCAGATGGTGATTATGACAAAGGGTGTGTTTGACATGCCAAAATCACTTTTGTCATTGTCAAAATTAATTTCCTTTTCATGGATCATATTTGCAAATTAAAATTTTGATTTTAAGTTTAAAATCCATTTAAATTGATTTTTTTAAGGCCCTTTAAATTAATTTTGAAAGTATCATTAGATGGTGATTTTAAAAAATCAATTATAATTAAATATCTTTTTCAAAATCACTCTACTATCACTTCGAGACACACCCAAATTTTATTTTCATGATATTGTTTTTATTTACATACATTTAAAAAGAATGCGTTGAAGACCATTTCTTCATTCTTTTTTTCAGGATGACGAAAAATAATGAAATTGTGTATTCAAGATATAAATAGCCTAAAACCCAAAACAAGCCAAAAATTGAAAATAAAATGAATAAAAATTTCTAATAGGGTTTATATATATATATATATATATATAATTTCTGTCTTTAATGGAAAATAATTTTGCTGCTGAAAATATATATGTGGGGTTGAATTAATAATGATTTATAATTTTGACTTAATTGATCAGCTAAAGGATAGGCACACCCACTTGTCCAAATAGCCCAATTAAAGTGCTATCTAACTATTCAAGATAATTTTTTTTTTTTGTCTATATAAATGTTATGAAAAAAAATATATATATATTTTTCTCCAAAACCAAATAAAAAAAAACATTTTAAAGCACTCCAAAATTGAATGATGCGGAGACATATTAAATTTACCCCTTTTTTGCCTGGGGAAAGTTGTGGCCTACAATGGGACAAAAAATGCTGATCTAATTTTTTTCAATAAAATTTTCATACAAAATTCAAAATTGCCCTCTCCCTCTCTCTCCCTCTTCCTTTTTCTCTCTCTAAAATTTCAACTCCCACCATTCTTTCTCTCTCTCCAAAATTTGAAATTTGGGGATGGAATAAAAATTTTTGGCAAGCACTCCCTCTCTCTCTAAAATTTGAAATTGGAATACGAAAAATTCCAATTCATCTCTCTCTCTATCTGGAAATTGATCAAATTTTAGTAAATATAACTTTAATAAATTCCCAGAGCCGTGTTAATCACTCAGCAAGAAAATTCCATGGCACAAATCTGCAGATCAAATTCCATCTTAATCACAACCGAAAGAGAGAAAATGAAGAAATTAAATCACCAGATGATCATGTAATTTCGTTTGAAAATTATTTCACAGTTTAATTGCAACCACAGATCGTATGCAAACAACAGCCGTACGAAATAGTTGGGGGAGGGGGGGGGAACCCTAGAAATGATTTTGTTGAATTTCGATTTCCTCAGGTTTTGTAAGAGTTTGATTTGAAATTTCAGATCAAGAACTACGGATCTGCAGGTTATAGTGTTGGAAATTATCAGAGAAGAGAGTCAATTTCAAATTTGAGGAAATCGGCGGTGAGAATTGGGGAGAAATATGTGCAGGAAATTGTGTTTGTTGGTTGATAATCTGAATACGATTATCTCTGATCGATGCAAAGGGGATTTGCATTCCATGTGTATGTACGTGTAATTAATAATACACATCAAGAGCTGATCGCTATGGAGAGGGAAAAAAGAAAGAATTAAAGAAAAATTGATTTTCTCTTCTATAATCGGTGTAATTTAGGGCTCAAACCGGCTCATCCGTCTGGTGTGTGTTGTTCAGGCTGACCGGCAGCAGCTCCTCTTTGTCGGCGCCGCCGTGGAAGCTTCGAGATCGTAAGCGGATCGGAAGAAGTTGTCGACCTCTTCTTGGTTAACGATCTCGAAGAACTTGAGCTCCATGGTCAACTTCCTCTTGCAGGGCACCGGCGGCCTCTTCGGCTTCTTCGGCGCTCCAGGACAGCTGACGATCTTCGGAATCTTGTGCTCGGCCGAGGTCGGCGTCCGGCAGCCGCGGTCAACTTCTCCGCCGCCGCAGCCGCCGCCGCCGCCGCCGTCGCGATCGGAGGGTATGTTGTCGGAATTGGAGGGTTTGGGGGATCGGACCTGCAAAGGGAGGCGGATTTTGGGGAGATTTTTGGGGAATTCCAGGTCCATGGACATGGCGGAAAGGATTGAAAGATTCTTTGAGAGAGAGAGAGGAAAAAAAAAAGGCAAAATCAAAGGATCAGAAGAAGGGGAAAGTGGATGAACCAACACTATAAAGCGTTTCTCTCGTGGAGCACTATTTATTTAGGAAATCACTTGGAAGACGTGCCTTTGAAGAACACAGTAGAGAGAGAAACAGAGCAAAAATAAAAATAAAAAGGAAATAAAAACTAGAGAGAAACTAAGAGATGAGGAGTTGACAGGTTGGTGATGGCTTCCTTTAACTCTCTCTTAGCTGACTCGACCCGGATCCGGAATCCTGCTCCATGGGGATCCGATTAAACCCGTTTAGCCACAATTATATGAAATAAATAATCAAATTTGTCGTAATTTATGTGTTTAAGTTTTTTGATTGACCGGTGATTTAATATGGTATAAGGGGTTAATATTGATAATCACAAAATGAATAAATAATTAAGGCTCATCATTTTGTTTCTTTTTTTCTATTTTTGAAAAGTGAGTCGTAAATATTACTTCTACTCGTGTATTTTTTTATTTTGATGTCTACTTTTTGAAAGCAAAAGACAAAATTGCTTTTGTTTTTTTAAATTTAATTCAGGATTCAAATGTGGTTTTAAGAAAAGTGAACGTATACTAATTATAGAAGTATGAAAGAGTAAGCATGATTTTAAAAAAGGAAACGATTATTAAATGGAGCATACATTTGTCGTAACTTATTAGTTTTAAGTTTTTTGGTCCACTGCTGGCTCAATCATCTATGTTTTGATTTCGATTTATTTTTATTATGGTCTTTGTATTTTTAAATTTGTATGGATATTATTATCGTTCATTTTGTATGTAGTTAGTTTTAGTTTTGTGTTTTCAATATTTTGTCCTTCTTATTTGTTTAAAAATAACTATTTGTTATCCGTCCAAACATGGCTCAAATGCATCATAATACCATCTTAAAAGTTTATGATTCGATTCTCATCCTGTAGTTGAACGAAAAAAAAACTATGTCGAACAACTTTTGTTTACATGACTAATAGAGGTTAAAAATTTGGGATAGATTTGAAACTTTTAAATAGTTAATGGTAAAGTTGAAATTGATGGCATTCGTAAGGGATAACTTAAGGTAGTTTTGTTCCGATATCAGTCTATTATTTTAAAAGTTTCAATTATGACAAAAAGAAAAAGAAAAATCCAAAGTGCGCGAACATGCTTTAGCGATAATAGACACCTAAAAGATCATGAGTTCAAAACTCTATCCCACGTATTGTACTAAAAAATAGAAAATGTAAGAGAGATTTTGTGCAGTCAACCACGAGATTGAGTTAAAAGGAAATAATGAAAACAATTAATTATTTGAGCGAGCTAAGTGACTAATAAAAATCAAGGGATTTATTAGAGAAATATTTTTCAATAAAAAATATATTTATTATTTCATTATTTTTTTTAATTATAAAATTGTATAAAAGTGAATAACATAGCTCAATTAGCCAAAGGTTTTTAATTCTTTGACATTGTTGGAAGGCTTATCCAAATTTAGTAGTTATTAAATTGCAATAATAAATTCCACAGTAAATAAGTTCCAAATTTCTTGTTTTTATTGCATTAATTACTTTATTTCATAAAGGCATGGGTTCTTTTTTACTTCCATTTACATTCCAAAACGCCACCCCAACGTTTATTTTTCTACCAAACTTAAATTTTTAGGGGAACTAAAAAGGTATACTCTTTATTCACGATATTTATGTATGATGTTTTTGGAGTTATACATCTTATCTGTGTACGTTATAAATTTTATGAAACAATCATCGCTTAATTTTGCTGAGCTTAAAGTTTGTTTTAAACAATGATTTTGGGAATCATTAGTTTTGCTTGGCTGGCATGTATCTGTTTCTAAAATGACGTTTTTAGAACTATGATCATAGGTAAATTTGAGTTATCGTGTACTTGAAATCGTCATTGTTACACTTGTGATTTTTTTCTTTTAATTTAATTATATTAATTCCACAAGTTTCAATAAGTTGCAAATTTAGTAAAAGGTATAGTGAAGAAAAATGGGGAGCTGGCAATTATCTCCCTTCATTCATCTTCGATTAATTTTTTTTAATACATGTGAACGTCCAGACTAATTTATGTACATTTTGACTAATCTCGTGAAGCATCCGCTTGACCTTACGATATTTGATGTCAGAAACACATAAGAATTAATTCCTAAAGTAAGTAGCTACATATCATGAGATGTTCGAACTCATTTTCTCTCAATTTACGGTCCAATAAAATAAAGATTTTAATTATTATTTTCTCTAAATTTTCAAAATGGGAAGATTGCATATAAAAATGTTAAAATGTAATATTTTACCCCACCAAGAAAATTACGGGTTCCACCCTTCAATTATAAACTGACAGGGCTTGAACTTGYAGCTTCTGCCTTGATAGGGCACTGACTAATTGAACTATACGCTTTAGCGATGTTACGTATCAAATAAAAGACCTGCTAGGCGATCGAAATCGCTAAGGTCAGTGAGGACTCACTCACTCACCTACTACAACTCTCTCGTTTTTATCTCGATAATAGTTTCTTCTATCTACTGATTTAATTTCCTTCTTGAACCATATGTATTTCATTAGTTCATAAGAATAAGTACTAAAACTTAATCAAATGTATCGAGAAAAATGCTATTCGAATTAGAAGAGTTTTGCTGAATCCATTGCAATGCATCAAAAAACGAATGAAAATAGAAACGCGTGGTATATTCGACGCAAGGAAATAAAAAATAATATATACAAATTTATATCTCATCGATAACCATTTTGTTTTTTATTTTCTATTCTTGAAAATTAAGCTTACAACTACTACTTTCACCTGTATGTTTATTTGCCTTGTTATTAACTTTTTAAAAATAATGCTTCCAAAATCTAAATTCGACTTCCAAAATTCTGTTTTTATTTTTTAAATTTGACTAATAATTCAAATGTGTTGGGAAGAAAGGTAAAAAATTTAGATATAATTTCACATTTTTCTCGATATAGTTTCAAATTAGTGATGTATAAACATATATAAACAACATTAAAAAAATAATTATAAGTTGCATTTAAAAGTTAAAAGGATTTTTTAAACTTTATAAAGTGAATTAAAAGGGAGGTGATAAAAATGATATGATCGAAGGAAAAAAAAACAAGAGAGTGAGTTTAAATTAAAGTTGAGACAAAACTTACAGGGTCACATCTTTCTAATCCCAATAATCCAAAGAAAAAGCCGCATGAAATTCACAAAAAAATGAACACTAGCGAAGAAAGAAACAATAATTGGTTACAAACGATGGGTGAAGGACAAGTGGGATCGCTCCACGTGTCACCCAATGATGAGGTGGAGGAAAGAGAATCACCAACATCGGACGGTGGGAATCATCATGCGTTTATTTTTTAATTAAAAAAAAAAGGTTTTCAAGAGGTTGACAAGTGGAACTTAAATTTTACGTTACAGTACAAGACGGGCAGGGGGCAGGGGCAGGGGGCAGCCTGAAAGCCAAAAGCTTCTGCCGGACCACATCGCCGGTTGTCACCCCCACGCGCCTCGCCCCGAGCGCGTGGCCCGTGTCGGTTGGGAAAGTTTCTTGTGCTTTGTTTGGTGAGATTTCACGTTTCTTGAGATCGATTTAAACCATCAAATATTCTTTTTTTTTTCTTTTTTCTTTTTTTTTTCCTTTTATCCTTTTTTTTTGTGAGGTTACTTTTGGGATCTCAAAAAAGTTACTAACTTTAATGTAGGCCTTCTTTTTTTTTTTTTAATAAATAATTTTATATTTTTGGGAAAAGGGTTAATGAATTCAAATGTATTGGTAAATTGTTTTTCTTTTTTCCCCGATTTGAATGTTTAATATTTCAATTTTTGGAAAAGTATCTTTTTACGCCTAATTATTTGTTTTCCCTCTCAATTTTTACAATTTCTTCTTTTATTTTTTTTTATAAATATTATGTTTTGAGAGTCAAAATCGAGCAAGTGTGAAGCTCAAGAGGCAACATTTAGTAGTGGAGACCAAACCCCCCAATGGACTAACGACCAAAGGAGGAAGCGACGCTAGCTATGGTAGAGACGTACGGGTAGTTATGTGGCACACTCCACTATAGAACATTTACAACGAGTCAAGGTGGTAGGCAATAGGGGTGATACCACGCTTCGGGAATGTCCCCTAACGACCTATCAGAGCTCGTAAGTAAGTGGATCTGCCACAGCGCACGCAAGGTATTCTCCCCAATTGACTTCAACACCTATAAAAGAAACAGAACACCACGACGCGGAGTAAGTGAAAATTTTATCATTAAGCAATAAGGTGCTTACCGTTTCTCTTTTCYTTTGCGATTACTAACTTGATCGTCAGAAAATATTAAGCAAGACACCGCACCGGTGTCGAGATTCATTGCTGGAGGCTAAACTTGTCTGACGATCCCCGATCGAAGGACACCTAGACTCTCCAAATTTCAGCATCATTTTTTTAAAATATTTTTTACCTCTTAAAAATAATATCATCAAATGTAAAAAGTAAATAAAAAAATTTAAAAGTACTATTTTTTTATTTTAAAAGTTGACTTAAAATTTTAAAATAAAGTTTGCTACACGGAGACAAGTACAACTCCACGAGGTAAAGTAATGCTATTGTTATAATCCCTTGAAGACAAAAGAAATAAAATAAAATAAATATATTTATATAAAAAAAACATTTATAATCAAACACAAATATTTATTTCTTCTAATTTTTTTATTTTTTTTACTTTCTTAGACCTAATTTTCCTTTTTCCTCCAAAATATATTTATAAAGCTATTTACTTGCAGGAGATAAAAAAGTGCTACAAGTCAAAATTATAAAATGAGAAAAATTGTTCCCTATTTTTCTAGAATGAGAAAAATGATTGTTAAGTGTGACAGAAGAACCAAAAATACAAATTAAAGAAAATAGCATTAAATTAAATTTGTTCTTAAATGGTATCGTAATTCTTGATAATTATCTGTTCAATTTTCTATTTTTTTTAATAATTAGAGTTGGACCATAATTTTTTTTTCCTTATATATGTTTAAATGTTGAAAATGACTTAAAAGGGTTCTTAGGTATGGGAGGTGATCACATGGATGCTTTGATTTTGTCCATTGGAAATAAGATAGGACCAAATTTGATAAAATTGTTTTTTTTTTCTTGTTCTATAAAATAAAATGTATATATTTAAATGTAGTACTTACCACTATACTAATAATGAATTAACCAATAAAATTCAGTTGATTTTCTAGTATAGAGAAGGAGTAATTAGTCAAAATGTCTACTAAATTTTAGTTGATTTTTTATTAGGAGTGACTTGTACTCAATTTTTTTAGGTCACTTATGTTGGAAAAAAAAATGAAAATTTAAAATTACGACCATGATAGAAAGCTACTAATGCCTTAATTTTTTCTTTTTTGTCGATATCTATGACTCATCAAGCTTGCTTCGCACTTCAGCTAATTTCACGGGACAATCACCTAATCTTACCATATTTGATTGTCAAGAAAACACATAGAAAATTAATTTTTAAATGGGTGATCATCATGAGGTTTGAACTTATTCCCTCTTAACCATTTGAGTTCTACTCTTGACTAATTTAGTCAAATTTTAAACCGTCGAAGCTCAAATCACTCAATCTTTTTAAATAAAAAATCGCTCAATTCTTCTACGTATTCATTTGCTTAAATGTATTGTTCAACATTATAACATTAATTGAATAAGTCTTCATCCACTCGAATTATAATACGAGCATAACTCAATGCCTAAGACATGTCTATTTCATTTAAAGATAGCAAGTTCAAATCTCCACCTCACGTGGATGAAATGATATTCTAAACAAAACAAAAAATTCAAAATTCAACTAAATTAAAACATCAGTAACTATCGGTATGGATTGAAATGTCAATTCCAACCCCACATTTTAAATTAATGTTATATTCTTTAGAAAATCATAATAATCAACATGATATTCTCAAATAATTCATATAATCACAAGAACATTCACATCTAGTAACAAGAACTTTATACCAAAATTTTTTTTATTCTATGAAATTAGAACTTTACGAGATGGAAAAGTGGATTTCTCCCTAAAAAGAAAGTAATTAAAAAGAAAATGTAGCAGGTGACATAAACTACAGAAAGATAAATAAAAATAAAAATAAAAAGTTAGTAAAAAGAAGAAGGCGCGTGATGGGCACCGCACCGACGGCGGCATTGGATACCCACCAAGTTGAGCTTTGGGTAACCCTACTTTTTTTTTTGTTTTGTTTTTTTCTTTTCTTTTACAGCGTCTAATCTCCAAACTCCATTTTTTCCCCTTTTCTTTTTTGTTTTTTTCCTTAAATAATAATTGATAATTAAATAAAAAGGGAACGGAGAAATGAGTTTATTGATGGATTGGGTTTACCTAAATGAATCTCCCCACGTGAAATTGTTTTTTCCTCTCTTTTTTTAATTAAACAAATTATAAAAATTAATTTAATTTTTTTCTCTCTCTCTTGGTTTCACCGTCAATCATTGGCCTTCATTAAGTGTGTATTAAACTATCTCTAAACCGGATTAATATCCTTCTCTTTTTTTTTTAATAATTATTTTTCATATTTTTATCTTCAAGGGTAAAAGGGTAAATTGGCATTTTTCTTGGGATGATTGCAAACTGGATATTATTTTTTGTTTGAATCTCTATGAATGGACCTTGAGCCAATCCAACTTTTAGGTAAAAGTTTCTCTATTTTTTTTTCTTCTATATGTGATTAGCGGGGGAGTTAACTTTAGAAAATTGCTCAAATATTAACTAATAAATTATCCACAATTTTTTTCGAATCCGCACCTGTTCGAAGGTTCGAATATACGACTTCCATGTAGGTGTTACAAAGAGATTGCATGTTCTTAACGAAGCAACTCGTTGTAAGTTACCCCACATCTAACTAATAAGCAAAAAAATACGTGAGTGAAAATGACTATAAAAATAAACTAGAGAATATTGATATCGGACTAAATATATAGAATAGAAAATGCAATTTTTTTCTCACATCCATTAAAAAGTAAAAATCACGAGCATAGCTCAGTGGTAATTGRCATATATCATCAATCAAGAGGTTGTAAGTTCAATCTCTCACCCCACATGTTGTACTAAAAGAAAAAAAAAGGTGAAAATCACTGCACAACTAAACTATGTAGTTCAATTTTCTTTTAAAATTGTCCAGAAAAAAATATTTTCAAAATAATATATTGAAACAAGAAATAGGCGTATAATCAATAATGTGACATGGAATCTAGAGTATAAATTTCAACACCTAGTTGTATGAGGTTATTTAAATTTATTTGACACGTGGAATATTTCTAATTTAGGTATATGTAAAATGTTGGCAAACCACGGCCACGGTAGCGAGATATTAATTATTTAACCTTATGTTATGTATTAAAATTTAAAAATGCAGACAAAACAACATTCCAGGTCTGGGTATTTTAAATCAACTGATTTTCCTAATACGAAGGTTGCTTCAAAATTACAAATTCTCTGTGCATTGCAGCTTATTTTAATTATATTTATTATCAATTTACTCGAATTCCATGTAATCATTTTCAATATTCTCTCCTTTTTTTGCAGAATTGGAAAAATAAAAAAATTACCAGATCCAATGGCACGGAAAAAGGGAGATTGAAGAGTTTATTACAAGCTTTGTATGAAGAATAATTTTATTTATTTATTTATTTTTGCTCTTTTATTTATGATTTTTATTTTTAAGTAAAAAGAAGTCAATAATGAGAGGAGGATGTGTAATTGACTTCATATTAGATGGTTTGGAAATTTGCCATTCTAATTATTTATTTTTTTTTAGTTTCTTACTCATTAAAAAGGAATTATAAATGGTTACTTTCAAATTCAGTTTTGGTTATTGCCTAATGCGAAAAAGATTGAAAATTGGCCATGTGAACATAAAAAATCGTTAAGATAAGTCTATTTCATCTTTAATTTTCATAGGTAGCTTAAAAGAAAAATGCCATTCGAAGACTTAGCTGACATGTTTTTTTCCACACGTTTGCTTTATATATTTACTTGTTTTTTTTAATATATAAAGAAATGGACGTTTAAGCACAATAAAACTCTTATAAAATTGCTATTACATATGGCTATGTTCTAATTTAGACAATCCAATTCTTGAAAAGACCAAAAACAACATTTTGTCATATATCCAAGATTTGATGGTTCAAGAGAAAAAAAAAACAACACACAGTCCTTTTCAATTTGTTTTTTTTCTAAAACATAATTTCACCCTCTTAAAAAGATATTCATAACTAAATAAAAAGCACTCGGGGTATGAGTAGTTCAAGCCAGCTTAACTTTTTAAAACGAAACTATTATCAAACGGGGTGAACTAAAATTTACTCGGAAAATAAAATAGGAAAGAGGCATTATTTGGAATTTATATATAAAAAAATAATATTTATAAAAGGCTGCAGGAAGAGTACTACTAGAAAATTGGGTATCCAGAAAATCATGTGACTACATGATCCATATGATATAAGATGTCGGGTGGGTCAGAGCAAAAAGGAGAAAGAAAATGGCTATTAAAACTCCAATCTGTATATCCCTTTCTCTCCTGTTTCCCTGTCGTTCCTTCTTATAACACACAAAAGGCTCCTTCTCACGTTACTCTCTCTTTTTTATCATGTGGTAATGGAAAAAGAATATAATCAACCGTAATATCTGGAAGAAAATAATCATGGGGTGACACATCTCATGGTTACAGTAAAAAAGCAAAAAAATAAACATATCCCTTCTACAAGATTTTGCTTACCTTGTAACTACTGAGGGTAGAAATGCCAACCCACATCCCAGTTTCTTCAGAAGTACCGACGATGGGACCGGAGTAAACCGGGTGGGGGTACAGAGACAGGCAGGCAAAAAACTAATCTCTAATTACTCTCTATTCATCTATTTGACAATCATAGAGCTACTTACTCGGACCAAAACTTCACGAAGGCGGAAACGAATGCCTTGAGGATTTCCAGAAGCGGGTTGCTTTCGGGGTTTGAGGGATTTTTGGACATCTCTTCCCATGATTCGCTGAAAAGGAACAAGTGGAAGAATGGATGTGAGTTTGTTTGATAATATGGATCAGAGTGAAGTGAAGGGGAACTAGATGTTCTTACAGATTGATTCTATTTAATGTTGGAATGGTTTGTTTCTGGGAGCCACTGTCCTGTTGAGCATCTACTTTATTTTCAATCTGTGTCTCCTCTTTGATTTTTGAGGCCTGATCAATGCCATTGCTGAATGTCTTGTTGTGATTCTGGGTACCACTTGGAGAAGCATTTGGAGCCTGTAAAAGAGCATCAGATGTGGCCCAATTGCAAATTATGCTTTCAAAAGTTGAGTTACAAACACAGAATGTGGCAATCTTTGAAATAAACAAAGTCAAAAGAACATTTCCTATCTTTTTTTTTTCTTTTTCCTCTCTCTCTCTCTCTCTCTCTCTCTTTTGGGTGTGGGGGGTTCTGTGGAGTAAGTTTTCTCACTAAAGGTTTTAGATCAATGGAATCTGCTATTTTTTCCTCACTCGAAAGTTTCAACTGGACCAGAAACTACTCAAGTAAAGATCCATTTAGCTTCATTTTTGCTTTTGTCCCCACAATACTTTGTCATAATCGAAAAATCGACTTTAAGAAGTTACATATCTATACCCCAGAAATTTAATAGTGGTGGATTTTAAAATGACTGACAGATTTTTTTAATAAAAAGAAGGGAACTTTAAAAGCATTAAGTATTTGGCCATAAAAAATAAAACACTCACCTTCTCACTAGTTTTTTGGCATTGTTCAAAGGCCGCAGCTGTTGGAGTATCAGTACGAACTTCCAGCTGAGGACCCTCAACTTCATGAACGCCACCTTCTTTGAGAATGGATCCATTAGAGCTTTCAACAATTGGTGCTACTTCCATCGAATCAAACTTTGCTACTGATAATGAACTTACAAAGTTTTCCTCTGCTTTCTCGACTACATGATCAGAAGTTTTTGTGAAATTACTACCTTCAGTGATAAACAAACCAACCCCTGACTCTAACTCGACAGTTTGACTAACTTGCTTTTCTGAATCACAAGTTGAAATCGACGTTTCGGATCTTTCACCTGAACTATTAGCAGCACCAGAAATTGGACTCAATGGAAATGTCTCTACTACCACATCTGCCGCCAAAGGTGTCACATGAGTAATTGGCATTCCTGATTCCTCTTTGACCACTTCCTCTACTTCCTTGTCTTCATTCACTAGCAACTCTGACTCGATAAGTTTGTCAGAGTCCTTGTCACTCACATCCACCAGGCTACCATTGATTATCGGCCCATTGTGTGATATCTGAATATTTGTTGAAGTGCATTGTTCATCTGAGACAAGGATGGGTTCTTCATTTATACATTGGTTGTACTTAACTCTAAAATCAAATTCTTCTGATGATAACGGTAAATGGGACTGAGGTTCTATGGCAATTGAGTGGAGTGGATTCTCTTCAAGTGAATGATCAAAGTTGTGCTCTTCTAGTAACAACTTTCCAGGGCCAAGCACTCGATTTTCTTGAATTATATCACGTACAATCTCCCGCACCATGTAGAAAGATCCACCAACCTCCTTGTGGGTAAGATTGAGAGAGGGGAAACTTCCATTATTGGATTCCTGATACCTGAAAGCAAGATGTTAGGATCCTATTGTAATGGAGGTTTCATGGTCTAGTAATTTTTTTTTTTAAAGAATATAAAATAGTCTATTGTCTTAATATCATAGCATTCAGATCATGAGATCAATGAAGAATGAGAAATTATTTGTACTAACAATTTGTTTGGGGAAGTTTGAGTTCCTCCAAAGTTCAACAATATAGGTCTACAGTCTACACGCTCTCAAATAATTTTATTATCCTCTTTTAAATTCTGTTTATATATGGTGTCATGTCATTAAGTACTAAAGCTAGTTTGAAAAAGAGGACCAGTTGGGGAGGAGCACAGAGAAGAACAAAGTTCTTTCATATTCGCTTAAGACTAATAGATGCTCTTGCATTTTCTAAGACTTCAATACTAAAAAATTAAGAAAAGATATCAAAAGAGCTGGTCCATTATTAAATTAAAAGGCTCCACCAAGTCTCACGATACCAAAATCATCCTCAAATGAAAATTTACTTGCAACTGACATACAATTTGTTTCCGAAAAGTTCCTCAAGAACTCGACAATAGATGGATACACTCCATAAAGTAACTCAATGGTTCAACCCTGAGAACTTGAAAAAAATCTTATTTTAGTCCTTTTAATATTTAAAGAGCACGATGAAAATGGTGTGCAGTAAACAAAATGCTACCCATCATGATTCTTGGGAGTTTTTTTCCCCTCCCTCTAGGGAGCTATTACTAATATTCATGGGGTTCCATCTCAAAACCAATTGATAATGGGAGTAGTAGCCCATATCTATTATAAACCTATGTAAGGTCCCTTCTTTTATCAATGTAGGATCCTTAACATGCCTCATCAAGATCATGACTCTTTTGGCTCATCGATCTTAGTCGGATCCCATGTTTATGTTTGAACCGGGTGCTCGTTTGAGCTTTTGGACTCTGATACCATGTTAATATTCATGGGGTTTCATCTCAAAATCAATTGGTAAGAAGAGGAGTAGCCCATATCTATTATAAACCTATGTAAGGTCCCTTCTTTTATCAATGTGAGATCCTTAACAGCTATAACTTCTGTAGCTATTGCCTCATCGACACAAACTAATTGGAGTTGTTTTTATTTCACTTCATATGACGGGAAAAGTCGTGATTATTAAGCTGCAAGATAATTTATCACCTAACAGTTCTATATGCTTGCTATCCCAAAGCTAAGCTCAACCAGAAAACAGTGTCAGAAACAGATACAACAATGAAAGCCACACTACAATTATTTGTGTACCAACATGAATAGCTCGAGTAAATCACAGAGTGGGAACAACATATAACAGAACAAGGTTTTCTTGAGCAAGATATTGTGCATTTGAGAATTATAATTGTGGATGAAATATCGTCATAAATGCAGGGATGCAGAAATTTAATAATCCAAACAATTCAGCTTTCTTTGGAAGATTAGTGGAAGCAAAAATATGAACCAAAACCATTTTGTACTCACTTTTTTATGAAGACTTCGACCATTGCCTTCCTTTCCTCTTTTGAACGCCGAATTCTAGTCTTTCTCCCTTCAGACTCATTGTGTTTGGCTAGGGCAAGAGGACGCCCTGTCCACCCACCCCTAATCGCGTGCATGAAATCCACAAAGTTAAACCCTAAGGAGACAAACCTACAAGAGAAAGGAATAGTAATAAGATAATTCCGTCCATATAAAGTTTGTGATCCAAATTGAAGTGGATGAGATAAGAGCCACTCGAATTTCACTTCTCTAACTCAACAAATTAACAAAATCATTTAACATGACATACAGAAACAAGCTGAACTCCCTTTTAAACCAACTTATAAATTTCTACAAACAACCTGCAACAGGCAGACCTGTTGCACATATATATTAAAACATTAATATACCATATCTACAATACACATCGTCCATTTCCCTAGAATAACTTGCAGTAGCAACATAATTGAGATGGGCAGTTAAAATCCGAGACGACAGACAATATATGGATCAAAGCCAGGGTACAATCAAAACACCGCATAATTAACCACAATGATCAACATAACAAAGAAACAGAGGCTATAAACTTTGAGAAATAAGCCTGTTTTAATGCAACCCAGGTACCAAAATAACTAAACAAATAAAACCCAGTGGAGAAAACCCATCATTGCGTGGAACTCTAGCGCCCACGAGCGTAAGTGATACACTGATACAGGAAAAACAGAATGATCGCCATAGCAGGGGGAGTGGGGGAAACCAACCAACGATATGAGAATTGCAGTGTAAAAGTTAGCGAACAGGGAGAAATAGCTGAGAAAACGTTACCTGTGCTCCGGGAGAGAGCGGGGGAGGAGCCAAGAGAGAGAAATGGAGATAGAGAAGTGTAAAACCCTACTGAGGGGTCACAGAGAGCGGGCCAGTGGCATTCTGCAAACTTCCAACGCAAAAATGGGCAGTGGGGAATGGGAATGGTGAGAGCGGGAGGTGAATATGTCATGTAATTCTAATTCTACTGTGTTGAAATAAATCTATGTCCGATTGTTACCGTGATTTGATGGACTGGGCCGCCCCAGTTTAATGCGCCTCTTGGTGTCGGCCTATGTATACAGAAAATGAAATTTCTAAACGTCTCGCAGTCTTAGTATTCCTGATTATATTCGTATATATAGGTATATATTATATATGTGAATATATCTTATATGTGTATACATATATCTTATAGTTATGTAGAAATAGTCCTCCATACCATTTGTAATTATTAGTCTTCCCTTAAGATTGGTATATATGGGGATATATTTTGTTTATGTGTATAGAAAATTGAAGTTCTAAATGTCTCATATTCTTAGTATTCCTGATTATATTTGTATATATAGGTATATATTGTATATGTGTATATATCTTATAGTTGTATACAAGATATAAACGCATATATCTAGAAAGGGTCCTCCAAAACTGAAGTTTTAAACGTCTCAATGATGAAGCGAAAAAAGTTCTTAGATTTCGAATTTGGGAGATTTTTGGACGGGATTTGGAGATATTTTGGGAGGTTATGATTTCAATTTTGGGGAATTTAGGGTTTTGTTTTTAATGTTTTGGTGTTTTAATTTGTTTTGGAAAGTATTGGAATCTAAATTGTAACCTTCCAATTAATCAATTTTACATTTTAAAATTAATTTGTAAATACAAGAGGCTATTTAAGTAATTTATATGATGTGTACCCTCTTAAATATGGTTGATATATAATTAAGATGTTTAAATAGCTCATCAATGTACTAATCCCTATTTCTTTCAACTAAGATGGATATCGTATAGTATGAGAGTCCTGGTTATGCATATATGGTAGCGAGAGTTCGTGATATTGTTTATCGGACTTTTCATCGTCCAACTCAAACTAAACGTGATGTAATCAAACTTATGGTTGGATTTCGACTATTGGTAAAGCAATCATACTTCCTTCACCTAAGGGAGAACTTGATTTAGTGGTTATTTCTAATAGGCGTGAATGCAAATAAAAAACATCCCGTTATAAGCTTTGAAGTACTACCTCTGCCTTCCCTTTCGATAACATAATTCAAGAACTCGTGATTGATTTGTAGATTCTCAATGTTTTATTGTTATTTTACGTGATTGATAAATATGCAAATTAAATCGTTTGATTGTATAAATTTGTGTGTTGAAGTGTCGTTTTGATTATTATACCTTTAATTTTTGTACATTTTTTGTTGCTAAGCCTATGGTAAGGGTTGATCTTTTCAATAATGAAGTTCTACTGATATCTCTGTTGTTAAACGTAACAACAAATTAACAATACAGTATATTTAAATCATAGTAAATAGACACGTGGAGATCAAATGATATAATATGACCTTTTTTTTCATTTATGAGTAACAATGACATAAATATTCAAATATTATTTTTATTCATAACTTTCTAAATAATAACTATTTTGGTATCTTAATTAAAAGAAAATAGATACTATTTTATCACATGATACGTGCCTCAACTAACATGCATGACTTCTATAAATTTACATATCAATATAATAATTCATATGTTGATTACTCATCTTTTAAATAATTTGTGATAAATTAACTATGAAAACCAAAATATCACTTTATAGAGTTTAGGGCTTAATTATACATTTAAAAAATCCGATAAAATAAGATCTAGAGTTTAACTAAAACTGAGAGACAGATTTTCAAAAGAAGGAAAAAGAAAATAATGAGAGACACGGAACCAAAATCAATATCAATATTAAAAATTATAATTAAAAAGAAAAAAAAAACCGATTCAATCTAAAAGACAAATAAAATAAAATACGAATATTTCACAGCTAATACAAAACCGCGTAGCAGACGGAAGCAAAGTTTGCGAACTTAGACTTGCAATAAGAAGTTTTGTTTTTTTCTTTTATTATTTTTTAATTTTTTTAATCATGCTAAATTATAAAAACAAATTGTATGAACTTTTGTCATTTGTTTAAAGAAATCTCCATCCACCGACACGATCAATTAGTAAAACAATTGACACTTAATAAATGTTTGAAGGGAATTAGTTGAACAAATATTGTTAATATTGTAATTCAATTTAAAATGACAATGAATACTTGTAAAAAGAGTATTTTTGAAACGTCTATAAAATGTCAAATATGATATCAAAACATTTGAAATGATTAAAGTATTCATGAAACAAACAAGTTTAAGGGGTCGTTTATTTTTCGAAAATACAGATGTGCGACGTCTTCGAATGCTACAATTTTATATGTTAGATGTCCATAATATTCGGATAGCTATATTTATTTTGTATGAAAATTTATAAAGACGTGTGAGAATATATTTGGAAAACCATGTTTATTTTGCATGATTTATGATTATGAATATTATTTTGGTTGAAAATTATTTTTCATAATATTAAATTTTATTTTTTTAAGTGAAATAATATTTAATATCGTTAAAAAATTTTAAATTATATTTAAGATAATGAATATTGCAAATAATAATTTATTCAAAATATTACAAAGAAATAGAGATATTATAATTTAATCGAAGTTTAATATATAAATATACTGATCCTATATTGTTAGTTAACGGGTACATTAATTAATTTAAATCATAAAAATAAATAAGTTTGATAAGATAAAATATATGAAACAAGAATGAAGTAAAAAAAGGTAAGGAAATGGTGCCACCAATATAAAAATATTGAAAACTATGTTTAAAAATAGTACAAAAAATAATTAAAATGTTTTTGTATGAGCATCTTATATAAGATTTTCAAGCATCATATATATTTATACAACAAAACAAGCGTGGAAATATAAAAACCATTCAATATAAATATTGAATTCCCGCGAACAAACAGTCTAAGAATTTATTTAGGTTAAAAAATACATTTGGTTCCTATACTTTAATTAAAGTAATAATTTACTTCCTGAACTTCAGTTTGCAACGATTTAATCCGTTAAAGTAACCATGAATAACGATTTAGTCCATGTAGTTTAAAATAAAATTTGTAACAATTTAGTTTCTACCGTAATTTTTTTTTTAAATTAAGTATTCAATTTTATCGGATAACAATTTAATATTTATAATTCTTAAACATATTTGATCCCTCCTTAGTTTATCAATCTATACCTACAATATATTTAACAAAAAAAATTTCACGATAAGGACTAAATCGTTACCAACTTTAAATTACAAGAACTAAATGATTACATATTAAAGTTGAAGGACTAAATTGTTATCAATTTAAAAAATATAGGGACTAAATCGTTACAAACTAAAGTTTAGGGACTAAATTATTAAAAAGTACCCGGTGTTTTTTAACGATTTATTTATTTATTGTTAAAATTATTTTTTGTAAGTTAGCCTAAAAGATACCGTTGAAAAATATGGCAATACAATAAAGCAGTGGAATACATGAGTAAATTATCTTTAAAATGGAAAAAAATAACAATAATAATTACAAAAAAGGTGATTTTGTGTAAAATTGGCGGACTTGGCATAAAAGTTTTTGTCATTTTTTCTYTTCTTTTGCATTTGTCTGCTTCTAAATGGAAGCCAAGCCATGGCAGTGACCGCAATTCACATCTGAGTTTTCACATCTCCATTCTTCGTTTCTTCTCATCAATCCTCGGAAAAAAATTTCCCATCACGTTTCCGAGAAAAAAGTTCAGAGCACTGAATCATCTGGATGAGACGAAGTTCATCTTCGGAGATCGACGACAATGGGAGTGCAAATGTCGTCCCCGGCGTTCACTCGATTCGCGATCGTTTTCCTTTCAAGCGGAATTCTAGTCACTTCCGTTTGCGAGTCAAGGACTCATTGGATCATGCAGCCTCCCGCTCCCGATCTCACCAGAGCCGGATCAATCGCAAGGGCTTCCTCTGGTGGCTCCCGGCTAGAGGGAATACGCTTTTCTACTGTGTTGTCATTTTTGCGGTCTTCGCCTTTGTTACCGGCTCTGTGATGTTGCAGAGCTCGGTTACTTTGATGTCCAGCCATGGAAGTGAAAAGGGGCGGTGGCTTATGGAGCGTATTAAGTTTGGGAGCTCGCTGAAGTTTGTGCCGGGGAGGATTTCGAGGAGGCTGGTGGAAGGTGATGGGCTCGACGAGGCGCGGAAGAAGGACCGCGTTGGCGTTCGTGCACCGAGGCTTGCTCTAGTGAGTTCTTCAAGTTTTTGATATCTGTTTGAAACTGTTTGCGTTCAAGTCACTGATTAGCTATCAGTACTTAGCATATGCCACTTAGTTGATTGCGTTTCTTATTGGTTACGTGCACGAACACTCAAGTCTCACGAATGGAAGATTTACCAAAGCTAACTTGGGGCTTATTTCTGTAGATTCCTATTAGTTGGAACCTTCCTTGCACACCCTCTTCCCCTTCCCGAACTTTTATGTGAACTCCGCGTTGTGTTTATTTATTTAGATCAATCCACCTTTCCTATCTCACATTAGTTAAATTATGTGAAGTAGATTAACTTAGAACCATTTGTTTGGATTCTGACCACCCCTCGGTGGCAGTAGTATATCATCCATTTGAAGGATATCTTCAAGTTCTAAGGTTTTGTATAATTTTTGAAAATGAATTTATGGAAACATCGGAAACAAGATAAATAAAATTGGTCAAGGAGACTTGTTACAGTGTAGGAAGGCGTATGCTTGCAATAACCACAAAAGTTTTCATAATACTGTGGTCCTTTAAAAGCATTGGATATTTGGATCTTGAAATTTTCATAATCGACTTGACTTTAATTTCCATTTGATTACTTTAGATGGTTGATTATCATAATCTTTATATGACCCAGTTAACCAAATTATTTTAAAATATTTATTTTTCTACATTTAAATTTAAACTGATAGTTTATTATATTGATTAAAGCTCTTTGGTTTTATGAAAAATTTTCTCTGAAAAATTAACATAATAACATTTAGAAACAGAGAGAGTGTTTTTAACATTTTTCATAATTTCACAAGCTTTTGTAAAACTGTATCAAAATTCGAACAGAACTATTGTGATTCTTCTTAATTTTTTGTTTGTTAAGAAACCAATATGTTAGGCTACCAATAATAAAACGTACCTTAGGAGGGGTAAAAGAGGGAATGTACCAAGAGTTAATCAAGAAATTGTACATAATGAGCATATATTTTTGGGGTTGAGATATGGTGAGGTAAGCAGAATTTTGGTTAGGGAATAGTAGGAGAGAAGCTGGTGCTCTCGGACTGGCCCAAAGTTTGTAGTTGAGCTCGTAGCTCTTTGTGATTGCTCTCACTCGTTTCTGTGAATACAATACCCATCAAGACTGTTCCATTCTTCTCCATCCAAAAAACCCAATTAATGGCTTTAATGGCACTGCTCCATAATCTTTGGCTTCATTCTTAAAGAAGTGCACACGCAGAAGTTTAATGATGTCCTGTTTAAAATCTTTATGAAAACACTAATGTATTCCATAGTATCCTTGGGAGTTGGAGCTTTTTTCGGTTAAGTCCATGCTCGTAAGAAGTTGACGAACCCTTACCACTGGTTTGGTATAAGATTCTTTGGGAAGATAAGTATTAGTATCCAAAGAAAGTTAAGGTCTTCTTTTGGTCCCTTTATCTTGGTGGTATTAGTACAAAAGATAAAGTGCAACCAGAAATCCCCAACCAGTTGCTTCAACCAAATTTGCATGTCTACTCTAATCTAAATACTCCTCTGAAGATGCATCACATCGAAACATAATTTTTAATGAAAAGTGAAATGAAAGGAAAGGGAACCGAAGCTTGTCAAATGATTGACGGAAGTGAAATGAAGTATTTTTGTAACTAAAAGATTCGAGTAATTTAAAAAAAATAAGAAATGAAGTTCATTGAACAAATAATTTAAACGAGAAGCTAAATTCCGGGGAACAGTCAAGGAGTCAAAAGAGGATCTCCAATTGAATACAATCATAGAAATATAATAATTATAAGAAGGTCTAAAAAGACGAGCCAAAGAGGAGGCAGAAAAAGCTTCGAGCAATATTTTCTTCTTATTATTTCATTACTGACTGGTACTGTTCTGACTGGTACTGATTATTCAATGAAATATAATTTTAAACTAAGTACTAGTTCATGAAAAATTCTATGACCTATTTAGAATCTTAGTCCTTGTGGTAGAGATTACCCCTGTGGTCTCGTACTTGTGCTCTTACGTGCATTAATATGGTTGTTATGATTATGGATTAATTTTAGACTTGATTGTCAAAAAGTTTGAATCGGAATGCATTCTCAATGTCATGGTTATAAGCAAATGCTGAATTCTGATAACATAAGAATTTAACTCATATGCGTTCCCAGTTTAATATATACTGCGTAAGAACAGTATCTGGATCTAGATACATCAAGGAATTAAGTTATGTACCAATCTTCTTCTTTTTCCTTTTTCCTTTTTCCTTTTTCTCTTTTCCTTTTTCCTTATGCTTTCATTGGTACCAGATCTTAGGAAGCACGGAGAGAGATCCACAATCATTAATGTTGGTTACTGTGATGAAGAACATTCAGAAACTTGGATATGTGCTTGAGGTGAGTTATTGGAATTTATTTGTTGTCATTCATGTAAAAAAGATATTTTATTGGGATTTTTATTTTTCATTTTATGAGAGTAGAAGGTGTAAAGTTATCTTCTTTTGTCCACTGTTCTAGTAGTATGTTTCCAGAATTTATATATGGTGCATGGATTTCTTGTAGGTTTATGTAGTTATTTATGATTGGTGTTTTAATTTCTGGCTACAATTTTTTTTGGATCCTCATTAAGGCGTATCTGACAGATTTTTGCAGTAGAGGGTGGAAATAAACATTCAATGTGGAAACAGATAGGTGGCCAGCCTTCAATATTAAGTCCAGAGCATTATGGTCATGTTGATTGGTCAATGTACATGCTCCTTTTGTTCGTTAAACAGTTTTCTTACCATCCTTTTTCTTTATTTGTTCTCTGGTTGATATTTTTTTCGTTGCCTTTCAAGAACTTTTTGGGGACTACTTTTCAAAGATATCCTTGGCAGAAATGACTGATTCTACTTTCATATATATATTGTTTCAGATATGATGGTATTGTTGCTGACTCCTTGGAAGCAGAGGGGGCCATAGCAAGGTTTTTTTTCTTTATAGCATAAAGTACCTAGTGAAATCTTTAAGTATGTAGAGTAATCTTTATTTATACTTGCAATGAGGTGAATGGTTCTTTGTCTAACTGTATTTATGATGTGCTTTATGAACTTATCTGCATTAGGCGTTACAATAGATTATGGGCATAGAAGCAAGTGCAAACTATTATCGTTGGAGAGTTGGAGTTGCTCTATCTCTTCCTAACTAGATTTTTTGTTAAGTTTTTTCATAAAAGATATGAAAAACATACCATAATGCTTTAGATTAACAGGTAATTCATTGTTGTTAAGCATTTGATTTCGTATGTCTCATGTTCATTGGAACATAAATTATTGGAGCTTTAACATGTTCCTTTAAATGTGAATTACAAAATTTTAAGAGGCTTGTATTCTACAAATTCCATCATAAAAGTGGAACATTTAGCTCCAAGGTTGGGCAATTTATCTAGATATTAAGGCTGCCTCCAAGGGTTGGTAATTGATTTATACTTAGGGCTGCCGGATAGGTTGTTTTCCAGACTTGTTTATAGAAATGTGAAACAGGTGGCTTACAAAGATTGAGTGTCCTATATGTTGAGGCCTTTGATTTTTGGAGAAGTAACAATTGGAGACGATCTCAAACACAAGTCTCTAAGAGGGAAATACAACTTTCAAAATGTAATCTCCCAAATTTGCTTTCTCTCGTCTTTTGTTATATATATAAAAAAACAATTTATAAATTCAACTCCAGAGTACCGTTTGGTAGTTTGATTTAAAGACCTATTTTATATAGATGTGATCAAGGGTGACTTGTAAAGAACGAGTTTACTTACTGTGTACTTGAAATAACTGTTCAAAAACTTGTAGCCTTCACAGTATAATTTTAGATGTTTTGAAAAAAGCAGGCTATCCATGAGAACAAACCAAGAGAACAACTTTTAGAAATAGTTACCAAACATGTTTTCATACGCCTTTTTTTTTGTTTTGTTATAGAAATTTTTAACATTGACTCCCGGACAATTGGTCAAGTGTTGTGGGGGATTGAATCTAGTGAATATGAAGGGTTAATACATTTCTACATTTAAGAGATTGATGAAAATCTAACCATTCTTACCAAAAAAAAAAAAAAGAAAAAATGAAAATCTAACCATAATTAATGCTTAATTCTAATAAGAACCTATAAAAATAGTGCCTATGTTTTTTCTTGGGACGAGAAACTTTATTCTTCTTCCTTTTTTTGTTTTGTTTTGTTTTTGTTTTTGTTTTTTTTTTTAAATATAAGAGCCTATCAAATTCAGGGAAGTTAATTTTGGATGCATGGAATGTCAGTGGTTCTGATTTGACTTGGAGGAATTAGTTAGAGTTTCAAAGAAACTATACATTTTAGTTTATCTTGTTAATATGGAGAAACTTATGTTGGGGTTGTGAACATTCTTTATGTTTAGATAGTGAGCATCTCACATGTAAAAGAAACTGTGATTAATATAGGTAAGTGCATGGGCGTGCATGTGCAGATAATAATACTCGTCTTTCTGAGTTATGTTGTTTTCATGTGCTTAAAGCATGTGATAATCATGTAACATATTGTTTTAGACTTTAGTTTGAGAATTGAGATACTATGATTAGTGAGGTTTATATTTATGCAGCCTTATGCAGGAACCTTTTTGTTCTATACCACTCGTATGGATAATTCGAGAAGATACACTTGCCAACCGCTTGCCGATGTACGAACAAAGGGGCTGGAAGCATCTTATTTCACATTGGAAGAGTTCTTTCAGAAGGGCCAATGTTGTCGTGTTCCCTGATTTTGCCCTCCCAGTAAATCTTCTTTTCATCTCTATTTGTTATTGGATGTTACGATTATTTATAGTTAATCTTGTATTCAACATTTCTGTTTTTTTCATTTATCAATAAAATCTCTTTATTGTTTAAAAAAAAAAAAACACTCTCATGCCATTGCCATTTCCTTACCATATCAGATGATGTATAGCACTTTGGACAATGGAAACTTCTATGTGATTCCTGGATCCCCAGCAGATGTTTATGCTGCAGAAAACTTCAAAAATGTTCACTCCAAAAGTCAATTAAGAGAGAAAAATGGATTTAATGAAGATGATATACTGGTTCTAGTTGTTGGAAGTTTGTTCTTCCCAAATGAGCTGTCATGGGACTATGCTGTGGCAATGCATAGCATTGGACCTCTACTCACAAATTATGCAAGGCAAGAAGTAGGAGGGTCGTTTAAATTTGTTTTCCTATGTTGCAATTCAACTGATGGATCCCATGATGCTTTACAGGTATATTTAATAATTATGCTTCTGCATTTAGATTTATTTATTTGTTATTTTATATATATATATATGCATTATGCTCATGTCCCACTCTAAAGTCAGCTCTGGGAGATAACAAGCTTTCAGTTGACAAGTTTTTGGGGACATTGTGGCTTTTCTTCCAGTGTGTGTATGGTATTCATATTCTATACGGATGTTTAGATTTAAGAGAATATTTATCTAGTTCCTCAACTCTTTTATTATGTATCTGAAAATTATAACTTCATTCTTCTTTGACCATTGGGTGATTCATTGCCACTTACATCCTCCATATCGAAAGCACGTCAAGATTATCCTCGCTTCATTTTGTTGCAAATATGCATATACCATTCGTGTGTATGCAACTTGACTATGAAATTCCAGAATATTCCAGAATAACTTTTAATTTTTTAATGAAAGTTATGCTTGTGGTTTGTTTATTCATTTCCTTTTTATGGTCTTTAGCTTTTTGTGGTGAGGAGAAAAGGAGCAAGTAAAATATGAAGGAAAAAAAACTAGACATGGTTATTTTTCAAAGATGGAAATGGATTGATTGCCCTCTTTGTCTAATTATTCTTAATCAAGGTAAGGTTAGGCAGGATCTGGGTGACTACTGAATAGATGAAGTATTTCATGGATTTACATATAATTCCAAAAGCCTAGCTTTGAATTCTCTTCATATGACCATACACAAACTAAATTATGTGAAGCCAATCATTTGCTTGCTTACTTTTTAAATGCTTCACACATGGAAAAAGTTGCTTTCTTACCTGGGTGCTCTATATTTCCTCTTGTATGTAAAAATATATTGATTTTGTGGGGATTGTTTATCTTCTTATGTACAATTCCTTTGTTTTTTTTTTCATCTTACTTAGTTATGCCAAATGATTTTGAATATATTTTCTTGTGTTTCTCATTAAAAAAAAAAAGTTATGCCAAATGATTGTTATTGGCATCATTATTCCTGATCTTTGTATTGGTATCTTTTATATTGTTATGTATACTATTGTTTTGTACCTGATTTTTCTTTGAAAAAAAAGGAAGATATTTTGTACCTGTATACTCCTTTTGTTTTGTACCTGACAATGGATATATCTTTAACCTACGTGCAGGAGATTGCGTCACGTCTAGGACTTCCTGATGGTTCTATAACACATTATGGCTTAAATGGAGATGTCAATGGTGTGCTGATGATGGCTGACATTGTGCTTTATGGATCTTCACAAGAAATACAGAGTTTTCCACTTCTACTCATCCGAGCCATGTCCTTTGGAATCCCAATCATGGTGCCTGATTTACCTGCCTTGAGAAATTATGTAAGTTTGTATGAGATTTGCTGCCATGATGTAACAGCACGACTCCACCTCCACCCTGTTTTATCTTTCCCCTTCTTGGGTTGTTTCTTTTGCTAAAGCATTTTCCCTGGTTCTCAGATCGTTGATGGTGTCCATGGAATTATCTTCCCAAAACATGATTCTGATGCTTTATTGAGAGCTTTCTCAGAGATGATATCAGATGGGAAGCTCTCCAGATATGCACAAGCAATAGCTTCTTCTGGAAGATTGCTTGCTAAGAATATACTTGCATCAGAATGCGTTACCAGTTACGCACGGCTCCTAGAGAATGTTCTGAATTTCCCATCAGATGTTAAGCTTCCAGGCTCTTTCTCTCAGCTTCAACTAGGGGCATGGGAATGGAATTTGTTCAGGAAGGAAACGGTACAAACAATTGACGGAAATGAAGATGCTGAAGAGGGGATTACAGCAATAAGTAAATCCAGTGTTATTTTTGCTCTTGAAGCACAATTAACTAATTTTGTTAACTTAACAAATTTTTCTGAGACTGGAAATGGGACTCTGGAGCAAGATCTTCCAACTCCACAAGACTGGGATATTTTGGAGGAAATACAAAATGCTGAAGAGTATGAAACTGTTGAAATGGAAGAGGTATGTGGTACTTCTTGCAATTGGATTACTTGCTCGATCCATTGCCTTTCCCTGTTTCTGAACTTCCTTTTTCACACATCCTTCTCAAATGGATAGAATCATCTTCCTTTTCTGTAGTTTCAAGAAAGAATGGAGAGGGATCTAGGTGCATGGGATGAAATATATCGCAATGCCCGGAAATCAGAAAAGCTCAAGTTTGAAGCCAATGAACGAGATGAGGGGGAGCTTGAAAGGACAGGACAGCCTGTATCCATTTATGAGATATACAGTGGTGCTGGAGCTTGGCCATTCATGCACCATGGTTCTTTTTACCGTGGACTAAGTCTTGTATGCTCCATCCATCTTCTGTTTATCATGTGATACTTTCCATTTAGTTTAACTCGTTTTTGTTTTCTTAGTCAATTGCATAAGAATTGCTTTCACTCATCTGGTTTTCTAGAACTACTCCGAACTTTTTACTTGTAGTTATATTTCTGTTGGAAATTCATGCTTGTAGTTACTTCATTTAGTTTGAAGTTTTACTCATTGGATGCTTTAGTTCTTGAATCTTTCCTGAAAAGTTTGCAAGGTGCTGTGGAATAACTCCCTCCCTTCCTCCTTGAGTAGTTGAATCTATAAGGTTTACAAAGAAAATTTGGAATTTGATACTTTTGCTTGTCATTCATTTCTTAAGGGCAGCCGTGAATCTTTTTACGTTGTTTTGCTTGAGTTTGTAAAGAATTTATCCTAAATTTTATGGCAGTCCACAAGAGCACTGAGGTTAAAATCTGATGATGTCAATGCTGTGGGACGACTTCCTCTTCTGAATGACTCTTACTATATGGATATTCTCTGTGAGATCGGAGGAATGTTTGCCATTGCAAATAAGATTGATAACATTCATAAGAGACCTTGGATTGGGTTCCAATCATGGCGGGCTTCTGGCAGAAAGGTATTTATTTACTGGTTGACTATTACAAAGTTTGCAGTTTTGCAAAGTCCCCCCTCCTTATTTTTTCCATTTTAAGGAAATTTTTGCTTCCCCCTCCTTGGGTGGATAGGGTGCCCTCAAGGCTACAAATATTATTCAGCCCTTCATCTTTAACAGGTTTCCTTGTGCACAAAAGCTGAAAATGTTTTGGAAGAGACTATACGGGACAAGCCTAAAGGAGATGTTATATACTTCTGGGCACACTTCCACGTGAATGGTGGAATCATAGGGAGCAGTAATGCACCCACTTTCTGGTCAGCGTGTGATATCTTGAACGGTGGGCTCTGCAGGTAATTTTACCATGTCTGGTATGAAATACCTGTAATCTAAGCAAGTTGGGATGCATGCTCTGTACTGGGATGCGTTATTTGTTTTCATCCTACTTTTAAATGTTTACTTTTCTAGTGCTTTCTATTGTTTTTGAGTCATGAAATTGTGAATGATGATCTTCGTTACCCATGTTCCTACATTGTAACGTTTTTAGTTTCTGGACGTCATTTCAAAAAGATGTTAAAAAATCATATATGAAACAGTGATTCCTGCTTAAGTCTCCGTTGTGGATGTGCATACACTAATAAATGGCCTGAAATTATATAGTAAATGTAAATAAAACATGCTGAGAATGTGTTAAAGCGTGGTCTTATCTATTTATTTTCTTATTTATGGACATTTCTATGAATTGAACTTGCCCTAGCTATAGTTGTGATTTATGAAGTAGCTATTCAAACTTGCCTTATTTTACTTTAAATGAGTGCAGAACCGCCTTCGAAAACACCTTTCGTGAGATGTATGGATTGTCAGCAAATATGGAAGCTCTTCCTCCTATGCCAGAAGATGGCGGTTGCTGGTCTGCCCTCCATAGCTGGGTGATGCCAACCCCATCCTTCTTGGAGTTCATGATGTTTTCCAGGTATTTTCCTCCAGTTCATAAGCCATGATGCATATACAGTAATTTTTCTTCATTATTTGGATATTGTGTCAATATAAAGGAGGCAATCCCCTTAAATTGCAATTTGAATTGGGAACTACAGGATGTTCACCCATTACCTTGATGCTCTCAATAGAAATCAGAGTCAACCATATGGATGTATGTTGGCTTCCTCAGAGCTTGAGGTAAGGATTTGAGTCCCAATCCATTTCCCTTCATATGATTCTCTCTCTCAACTCCTGTTAGTTTCTATGATGAGCAGAAAAAACATTGTTACTGTCGGATCTCGGAAATCCTGGTCAATGTCTGGGCTTACCACAGTGGACGGAGGATGGTTTACATTGATCCCCACTCGGGTTTCCTAGAAGAACAACATCCAGTTGAGCAACGCATGGAATTTATGTGGGCAAAGTATTTCAACCTCACGTTGTTGAAGAGTATGGATGAAGATTTAGCAGAAGTTGCCGACGACGAAGGCGGTTCGAATAAAATGGGGCTGTGGCCATTAACAGGGGAAGTGCACTGGCAAGGGATCTATGAAAGAGCGAGAGAAGAAAGATATAGGCTGAAGATGGACAAGAAGAGAACTACAAAAGTAAAGTTAATTGAGAGGATGAAATTTGGATACAAGCAAAAATCACTTGGAGGATGAGAAACTGGAATAGTTCTGAACCACAATTAGCCTGCTCATTCTGAAAGCGCTTCTGACTGCTAACTTGGCTAGTAGTAGAGATTGAAAGAAAGAGCCTCTCCCCCTCCTCTTACGATTTGGTACGTAAAAGAATTCGAGTTCTTTCCGAATTATTTCTCACTCTACAGAGCATTTCTAGGCAACAGAACTGAGGAAAGACAAAGCTGAAACTGCAGCTCGGTTATTGGAGGCATTACCAGAGAATACAAGGTTATTTTGGCAGACAGAGGTAACTAAATATTCTTTGAAATTCTTTCTTCTATGTTCAACATACCTAGTATAGCAACAAGATAGGCAAATTCCTTTGCTGTTGTAGTACAACCAAAATAGCAATTATTAAGCCAATTTTGGTCACACGTAATAATAGATGCTTTCCACTTTCAGATATATTGTTGTCCTCATTTTGAATTTAATTTTTTTTTCTCCTCACCCTATGGTGGGGAAACCTGCAAACTTGCCTAAATTTGCTCCTTAGTATTTAGTAGATTCTTTGGCTGAGTTCTAGAAGAATTCTCGATAAAAGGACCAGCGTATTGACTTAATGATTTCCTTCGTTCACTCAACTCTCTCAAAATGGAATCTATTTCAAACATATATATGCTCCATTAGGATCGTAAGAGATTCAATGTTGATGGATAAATACTAGGTCAGAGTATACTACGCTATTAATACTAGCTTGGCGTTTTTCTAAAAGTAAAGTATTTATAAGATGTTTGAACTATTCGAATTAAATTGTTTTATGAAAGTGTATGTTATGTCACAAATACGATGGTAAGAATTCGAATTTACTAGAGATAAAAGATGAACTGATGACCCATGTTTATATTTGCAAGGCGTAAAGGTGAGTCTTGTTTCCTTTTAAACATGTTCATGTTACATAAATATGTTAAAAAAAATTATAAAAAATGATTTAAAAATCTCAATTTTAAGTAATTTTTGGCTCATCTTTCTATTTTCTAGAAACAAATTTATCTAAAACTAAAATCGTTTTATTGTATAGTTTAGAGATGGATTTAAATTTATATAAAAAAAAAGGTAGTTCCAATAAATAATTTGGTAAGGATTTCAAAATTAGAAAAAAAAAATTTGGAAAAAAATATGTGCAAGCGATACAATGGTTATCAATAAAATTATCATTAAGAGATGCAAATTCAATCGAATGTCATATCCATATCTACTAAATAGCTAAAGAAAATACTTGAAAATGGCCATTTGGAAAAAGAATTTTCACCACACAAATGAATAAAACTATGTAAATTGTACAATCAAATAATTGTTCAAACAAATAGCACCTGGGATGTATAATCTCAATACATAATTAACATTTCTGTCATTTTAACTTAATGATCACAGACGAGCTGGTTAATCATAAGAATTGTATAAAGCCTCTGTGTTTTGTTGGATGTTACAAACAAATGAACTTGCAAACGATTCTACCTGAAATGAGGTTTAAAGCTAAGCAGAAGAAGTTTGAAGAACTGAAAACCGGTGCTGAAGACGCCTCTCCTGCATTCGGTCGGTAGTTAATGTGTAACAAATGTTCTCACATGTCAACTGGTCCAAATGGATCATCAGCAGACTGTGGATCTGCAACAAATGAATCAAACCTAGGTCTTGCTGGCTGATCTCTTCCAAGAGGGAATTGCCAGAATGAATCGGAATTCTCGTAGAAAATATAGAAAACAATAGCCGATGCCACGAATAGGCCTACGAGCAGCAAATAGATCTGCCACTCTGCAAATTAAAAGCGTGGTAAATTGAGTGTCGAAGGCAGGAATATCAGACTATGAGCAGAGAGAGAGGAGAGAGACCTTTCCAGTCAGCAGGAACGTTTAGCTTTGTCACCAAAGCTCCCCATTCAACTGAACTAGTAAGCACAACCCTACAAAAAGGGGAAAATACAATTTTATCCTTATCAACCGACTTTACAAAGAAAGTTTACTTTTTTTGGCCAAGAGGTCATAGCGACATCTCAAATCAACTTGTTGGTCTTGCAACATGTACCTAAGAAAATACCCAAATGTTGAAAGAAGAAAGATTCTTATGACTTTCAGCAAACTGGTTTAATGGCTCACCTTTCACTGGGGCAGAACTCTAAAGTTTCTATGGATGTCCCCAGATGCAGCCTCTTGCTCATATGACTGACTTCCATTTTCTTTACTTCAGCCACACATACGTCCCCGTCCTTGCTTCCTCTGGAATGAAAAATGACCACAATTACTCAAAACCGGTGTTCAATAAAGCTCAAAACACATCGAAACGCACAATAAAAAGTTAAAAAAAAAAGGTCTACAAGAAAATATAACAGAAAGACTGTTGAACTATTTCAAATGATGTGGCTAACTGGTACTATTTTCATCATCGTACTTCGGGTATTGGTAATAAATTTATTACCAATTAATCTAACATTACTAACAATCAATTCGACAATGCGATGCACTTCTTACAAGGCTAAATATTTCCCATCTCGACTGATGGACATTACTGAAGCAGGCTTTCTCAGCAACCTCTTATACCCAATTCTTTTCCAATTACTGATGTCCCAAACGGCAGTGACAGCCTTCTCACCTGTTTCCGAAAATGCAATGAGGCATTCAATAGGATTATTGGAGGTTGATAATTTTATTAGTTCTGAAAAAATGCATACCTTTTTGGACAGTACAAAATAAAAATGGTTTTGTCCCATCCTTGGAGAATCGACAAAGCTCAATTTTCTCATCCTGGACAATCAAAATAAGCATGTTCACTAATTAAGAAAATTCAATAAACACAAAAGCAGGTTAAAATAACTACCATACCGCACTCCGTGTCAAAGTAGTTAGAGGAACTCCATCATCAGTCTTCCAAATCCTGGCTGATCCATCATCGGAAGTAGAAGCCAAGAACTCTGAGTCCAGGCTGGAACAAGATAGATAAAGTCATTTCAAATCTATACAGGGAAGAAATATTTTCAGATCTTCTCCAAAATTTTCAGTTTCAACCAACAAGCAAAATTTTCATCCACCATAATCAGAGCAACATACTACTAAGTTCGCAGATGTTTTAAGGTTCTTTATGGATTTATGTAGTTTGATAGCAATGAGAGAATGTCAAGTGTCTTCATGACGTTCCATACAATCATCATTTATGTATAAATTTCAAGATCTTGTGAGCACTTTCCTAATTACCGTTTAGAAAATCAGGATAAAAGGTGTGTTCAAAAGGCACCCCTTTCAAATATAAATGCATAATTTCTATTGCAGGCAAAACATCTTAATAGAAGGAAAAAAAAAACAGCAATTATGTTGCCATATTTTGAAAAGATACCAGAAGTAAACAAATTCAAAGCTCACCTAAAGTCCATATCCCTTACAGATTTATGCGCTCTTGGTTCATCTAAAATGGGGCGCAAGCTTGGCCATTCCAAGATTCTGAGATGTCCGTCCTGTAGTTTATTTGGTGTCAAAATAACCCACCACATTTTTCAGGAAGACGAGAATAAAAAGAAACATGGACTGTATAGACAACATATTTTTCCTTACCACTCCACCGGTGGCAAGTTTAGAACCATCAACACTGAAAGCTAGGCAACTCTGAGGACCAACATCTTTCAGTGGAGGCAACTCTTTCATCAACAGCTTCATATTTAACTCTTGACCACACAGCTCCAATAATCTGCAAGATGAAAAAAAGAGAATCAAATCTTTAAATCTTCATCTTATTAGAGGAATTGGCAGTCAGAGTGATAATAAGAGAAAATGAACTGTAGATCATTAGGCAAATATCCACACACTCAGACTGCAAGAAAAGATATCAACTCCTCATACTACAAGATCAATCCTTCAGCACCATACTACAACATCAAATTCCATGTGTGTCTGTGAGGCTACGAAATTTTATTTAAAATATCATGATTCAGCGGGCCAGAGGTTGGCAGTCAACGAATAAAAAAGTTGAATCATTTTAGAGCCCAGGTGATAACTTGGGCAGAAAGTTATGCCGTCTGCATTCATAAGCACGTCTCTTGTAGTAAAACACAAATAATAATTAGATGAACAATTGTCCTATGAGAAAAGCTTTAAAACTTAATCTCATATGGGAGCCCCCTTAGTAAGTACATGACCAAGGAACTTCAATACATTTTTTTTTTCTCCACGACAAACGAGAAATCATAGTTTTGCCAATTGTATTAAGATACATGAAAAATACGGAGTCTCAGATGTTTAAACCAAAAAGAAAACTTACTTGCATCCACCTTGAGTGGTAGAGCACACAATTTCATCCCCACTGGGATGCACAGCAACACCGACAAGATCGCCTTCGCATTCTTCAAACACGAATTCAGTCTGACAACAATAAATTAGGTCAACATACAAAATCGGAACCCTAGCTACCCAGTTGCAGTTCGTTTCCAGTTTCGGAGTCAATTCGTGAAACAGAAACAAGAAGAACGTCCAAATTCCATCGAAATAATCCAAAAGAACAGTAAACAAGACACGGAAAATGACAGATACCAGGGGAGAGGACGAAAGAGAAGTAGTATTGGGATCAAACGAGAAGATCTCGAGCACGGAAGGCGATGAATCCGGCCGCCTGGACCTCCCAACAACCGCGAAGTTCACATTATCGGGTCTCCGAATCCACGACCCACATGAAACCGGACCTGGATTCGACCCGCCGCCTCCCATGATCAAATTTCACCGAATAAATTGAACGGAATTGGAGGCGAAGGGGCAAAAATCTCAATACCGCCACGCCGGAAACCAGAGAAAAAGGAAAAAAAAAAAGTCTATAGACGAAAGAGGAGGGAAGAACGAGTTTCAACTTCCATACGAAGGCTCTTCAATTCAACGATCAAACGAATTTCATTTTCTGAAAATTTTTGTTTTTATACAAAAGTCAACGAGTCAAACGAAAGCATGTTTTGCCGTTATCCCGTACTATCCAGGTGCGACATGTCGGAGCGGGAAATTCGACACGACGCCCACGCCTGCCGAAGGATTTGACCTGGAGCAAACAGAAAAATAAAAACAAATAATGAATTAAAATGGTGGTAGTTGGTGGGTCCCACCTGACAACTCGAGGCGGGAGGAATATTCCCACGCGATTCCGCGGGAAATGCGAGGATGAATCGGACGGTTGCCGTCGTTCGTTACGATTACAGCTTCATCTCTTTTATTTGTTTAACGTTAAATTATAAATTATAATATGTAATTGGTATGTTTGATTAACACTGATTAATTTATTGAAATAAAATTGAATTTTGTGTTTTTTAGTACAACAATTTAATTTGGGGATATGAATCATCGAATTTCCGAGAGAAGAATAAATATACCAATTACTCTTGATTTGACAATGAAATTTTGTGTTAGGCCTATATTTTTCAATTTTGTTCGTAAGATTCACAACTTTTTTTAAATGTCAAATTTGATTAAAATTTTTATTTGACACAAATGAGAAGTTTAGCAACATTATATATTTAGATGTTTATTATATATTTTTAAATTATATAGTCTACTAATCATCAAATTAAAAGTTTATAAACTTGATATAAACTATTTAGACATAAACCTAAAAGTTAGAAGTCTAAACTTTAATTGAAACCTTATTTTAAACATTAAATATATATATATATATCTTATAGAATATATTCACACATATATATATATTACATGTCATTGTTATTACGAAGATTATAACGTAATTAAGAAAATATTAATTTATAAAATTGAAAAATTACCCACACCAACATGTTTTCCATTTTTAAAGCAGCATGCTAGATTTTGTTCTCTTTAAAATAACATACTAAAGTTGAAAATTAAAATAGCATATCAAAATTTGTCAATATACACAAATAACCCTAGCTTTAGAATTTGTCGGCTCAAAATAATTGACATCCATACGAAGCCCACTCAGCCTACTTATTGAATTTGGGCCCAAAAAGCAAAATCCTACCGGCCCAAATCGTCAAAGCCCAATTGGAGAACCGTCCTCTCGGCCCATTTAAAAGCCCAATCGTAGAACTGACAAACCCCCACGAAAAACCCTCTCTGACCACGTCGCCGTAGAAGCTAACCGGAGGGAGCCCTCTCGAAATCTCTCCGCCGCGCTTCTCGTTTCTGGTTTCCGTTTTTTGCTCGTCATTCTCCGGTCCCGGAACCCTAATTCCGGCTTTTCCGACGTCTAACTGAAACTTCTTCTTTTGTCATCTAAAGCGCGCGTGATCGAGAAAGGTGCAATTGGGTTTAATACTTTCGACTCTCCGCCTCCGTGCAGAAACTAGGTATTGACGCTCTCTGATAATCATGGAAAACTCTAGTTTGTTGTTGTCTGCTTTCCATCGCGGCTCATGAGCTGTTTTACTTGATTTGTTTCGTTTAGTGTGATTCATCTTGTATCTGACCTGTTAAGGTGAATGTTGTGGAGGTAGCTTCACGTACATTGTTGGTGAATCTTGGTTATGCCTCTTTGAAGCGCGTTTTCTCTATATTTTTTCTTAACATGTTATTCATTTACCTTAGCACGTGTAGGTTTCGAAGTTTAACCACATAAAATGGAGGAGGAACAAGGAAATGCGGTTGCTGAAAGGGTTCTGCCTCCGACAGAACAGGTATTTCAATTTTCGACTGAATGGCACGATGGTCGGTGTCCTTATTATTACATATGCACCTTCTGTATTCTTTTCCTTTTCATGGCACAGGCTGTATTTATTTTGTAATGCGTTTCTTATACAGCCCTTAGTCAGAAAACTTCTTGAGCTGGCAAGTTTTTGTTAGATAAATGATCATATTTAAGGCATGCTTTTGTTAATTTGTTCTCACTTTTCATCTATTTTTACTAGAACGGTCAGGGTATTTACTACCTTATATGCAATCTCTGTGGACAATTATTTGACACTATGACATTTGATATTTAAAAATTTGTTACATTAGGTAGGTGGGCACTATTTGAACTTGTGATTTTTTTAGGTATAATCGAACTCATGATCTTAAAGGAATCTAGTATACAAATTGCTCCTTTGACCATCGGGTTAGACCAGAGTGCTTGATTTTCCCTCATTTATTGATTTTTAGAATAAAGTCTTTCTCTATGTCCTTTGAATAATTTTTTGCAGGAGGTATCTAGTGAGATGGATGTGAGAATTAAGAAGTATCTACGAGGAGAAGGTGCTAATCTGGAGGTATGGAAATGGGCTTTGTGCATATTGATTATTTAGTTTATTATTATTTTTCCTTCTTATCAATCTTCATTATAAATGCAGGTTCTGAAAGATAAAAAGTTGAAGGGTCAACTTTCTGTTAGAGAAGATTTATATGGGAAATCTGCTAAAGCTGCTGCCAAGGTCGAGAAGGTAAATTCTCGTTATCCAAATCTCTTCTATTATCTGTCTGCCCTTTGTTTTAAACTTTTAATCGTTTTTACCAACCCACAAGTTCAACAGGACACGCTTGATAGCATTAAACCAGAGAATTTGGGGTTTCTTTGTGAACTTTGATGAGAAAGATGTTGTGATATAGTAAATATGTGTCTATCGAATGAGCTGAAAGATTTTATTTAATGATATGAGTTCAAATAGACTACTAGGATTGCGCCTTGATTGTTTAATTGTCTTTTTTCTGTTCAGTGGCTTATGCCAAGTGAGGGAGGCTATTTGGAGGCTGAAGGATTGGAGAAGACTTGGAGAATCAAACAGGAAACAATTTCTCATGAAGTAGATATCTTAAGTAGAAGGAATCAACATGATATTATTTTGCCAGGTTGCTTTTTGTGCTACTATGCATTATTTTGCTATGTATATTTTGAAGATACCATTTCCCTTGAAATTCTTGTTATGAAATTTGTAACTCTGTTTCTTTTATTGATTGTGTTTCTTCTTCTCATATTTGGCCTCTAAAAACAAAAACAAGCTCGTGCCTCTTCTTCTCATCTTTGGAAATTAACTTTTTGTGCTAATATTCATTCTTATGTGCAGCTCTTGGACCATATTCTCTTGACTATACTTCAAATGGTAGATATATGACCATTGCTGGACGTAAGGGCCACCTTGCAATTGTAGACATGAAGAACCTTAATTTAATTAAAGAGTTTCAGGTATATACAATGATCATTGGTACCGTTATGTTGGGGCACTTAGAAGTTTTAATGCAGCAAGTGGTCCTTAAAAATGATTGCATGATTGTGGTTATTTGAACTTAGCTTCATTCGATGTCCCACATCATATTATTTTTAGGTTGGTCAGTTTCTCAGGTTATATATTCCTTTTGGAATATACTTGTGCTACATATGTTTCTCGAATTACAATTCTTGAGTACAATTTAATGGAGATGTGTTAGAGTACTATCATTTGGGAACCATGCCATATTTGAATGTTGGTTGATACGACTGCATGTAAAACAAATATCTATAAATTGGTGGGATGAAAATATGGAATTTGTGGTAGATGACACATGACTTAAAAGCCAATTGTTGAATCTCCCGTTTTTGTATTTCTTTCCTAAAACAATGTATCACATGCAATACGTGGGCAAGAGGTATTGATCTAAAATTCTTGAAAAATTAGTTTTTTATGATTACATTTACATTGGTAATAATCCCGCAAAAGATTGATTATTCAGAGCAGGTTCTATGGACAATAGGGATGGAATAGCAAATATGGGTTGTAATTGTATAGGGCTATCTGAAACATATCTTGGGTATTCTTCAAATGGAGGCAAAAGTGAGTGCCAAAAAATTTCATTAATTGGCAAAGAAATAAAGCATAGAATGACTAAAAGAGTCTGTCTCATAGCATATTTTTTTAAAGAAATCCTGATTTATTGTGTGCTTTATTAATTAGAGTTAGTCTGGAAGATAAGTTTAGTTTATAGTCATTGCTCACAGTTGTACTGTTTTCAGGTTAAGGAAACTGTCCGTGATGTGGTCTTCTTGCACAATGAGCTGTTCTTTGCTGCTGCACAAAAAAAGTATTGCCAATTTTTCTCTCTTAATTTTTGTTGCTCGTGCATACATTTAACTTCATTACATGTTTTTTTAATATGATTTTCTAGACATTAATTACCTCCTTTTTCCTAAAAAAATTGGATGCTTAAAATGGAGAGTACATTTATTATGAGAAACTTACTGTAGAATCTATCTAATGATTAGCCCCCCACCCAAAACTTCCCGAATGAAAAACAAAAACACTTTCTTATGTTAGACCTTTAAATCAAATCTTTTTGTACTAGGGGGCCCTTGCATTGCTTAGATAGATTATGTAACTTTACACTACACAGCTGAAATGTTTCTTATCCAAAAAAAAAAAAAAATTGATAATATAATTGAAAATTTTGAAATTTAACAGGTACCCATATATTTATAACCGGGATGGCACAGAGCTTCATTGCCTTAAGGTTGGTATATGCAACTATCTGAGTGATCTTCTTATTTGCTGCTGTATTTCTCCTATTTGTCATTCTGGCAGCTTGACCCAAATACATTGAATACTATTCACAGTTTTCCCTGAATGTAGTTTGATTATTTCTTTTTGTGCCATTGAGAATTGATGGATGTCACTACTCCACTTTACCGCCTTCGAGAAAAGTTATGCTGGATTTCTTTTTTATGCTATTTGCTTAACTTCAATAAATTGATGGCAAGTTATTAAATTAAATTATGAATGAATTTGTTCATGATGTTATTGGATTTTATCTGTATGATGTTTGTTTCACTTTAGCTTCAGTAAAGTGATAGCAGGCTCGAAGTGTACAACACACCTCTTCATGGTAGTGCATAAACCATAAGAAATTCTTCTGTGATTATAGCTTCATTGTAATTATAAATGATCGGAGAACTCTTATTAGTGTTTAGGGAGGCAGAGGGAGGCACCTCTGCCCCTAGGCTGTTTCGTGTTTTTGTGATTAATACATCCCACTTTCTTATTAAAAAAGTGTACATATGTTGGTTGTTATATGTCGCACCTATTATCATGTATTATCATTGACTTGATCAAATTGTATAAACTTTTTAGGAGCATGGATCAGTCTTGAGGCTTCAATTTCTGAAAAATCACTTCCTTTTGGCATCCTTTAACAAGTTTGGACAGCTTCATTATCAAGATGTAACAACAGGTAGCATGGTTGGTGTCTTCCGCACCGGTTTAGGCCGTACTGATGTGATGCAGGTAAATCCATTCAATGGGGTTATAGCAACTGGTCATTCAGGTGGTACAGTTGCTATGTGGAAGCCTACAAGCTCTGCTCCTCTTGTAAAGATGCTTTGTCATCGAACGCCTGTTTCGGCATTAGCATTCCACCCGAACGGCCATCTCATGGCTACCTCTGGATCCGAGAGGAAAATTAAGCTCTGGGACTTGAGGAAATTTGAGGTGCTTCAGACTCTGCCAGGGCATGCCAAGACCTTAGATTTCAGCCAGAAAGGACTACTTGCATATGGAACTGGATCATGTGTTCAGATTCTGGGTGACCCTTCTGGTACTCAGAATTACAGTAAGTATATGGCTCACTCAATGGTGAAAGGTTACCAAATAGGAAAGTTACTGTTTCGACCTTATGAAGATGTTCTAGGCATAGGTCACTCGATGGGTTGGTCGAGTATCCTTATTCCAGGCTCTGGTGAACCTAACTTCGATACTTGGGTAGCTAACCCGTTCGAGACATCTAAACAGCGGAGAGAAAAGGAGGTCCGGTCTCTTCTCGACAAGCTTCCTCCCGAGACGATTTCGCTGAACCCTTCAAAAATTGGTACCGTTATGTCGGTAAAGAAGAAAGAGAAGAAGTCAAAGAAGGAAAGAGAAGCTGAGGAGGAGTCTGCAGTTGACATTGCAAAGGGAATTACCATGAAGAAGAAAACCAAGGGAAGGAATAAGCCAACCAAGAGGGAAAAGAAGAAACGTGAGATTATTGAGAAGGCCAAAAGGCCTTTCCTTCATGAACAGATAAAGGAAGAAGAAGAAGAATTGTCTCGAAAGAGGCCGAAGTTGAGCGAGGAAGTCGAACTTCCCAAGTCATTGCAGAGGTTTGCTCGTAAGAAAACCGAGACATAATTCTGCAGATGTATACTCATGTAGCATCCCGTGATTCTTAGTTTTCTAGAAGGCCACAAGGCCTTTCCTTCACCAACAGATAAAAGAAGAAGAAGAAGAAGAACCGTCTCGAAAAAGGCTGAAGTTGAGCGTGGAGGTCGAACTTCCCAAGTCGTTGCAAAGGTTTGCTCCTAAGAAAACCACGACATGATTTTGCACATGTATAGTCATGTAGCATCCATGGTTGTTAGTTTTGTAGCCATAGATTATGCATAATTTGTCTTCATAAATTTTGTTGAATATTATTTGTTTCCGTTAAAAGGTAAAAAATGCTGCATCTATGTACTTAAATAGGTTTTTACTTGCTTCTTCATACACATGCACTCACATTGATTTTGGTTTGCACTTATGGTCATGAATATTTTGATTTTCAAAAGTTCTATTTAGGATTGGGATAATTTTTGCCCTCAAATTGAAAGGGTTTAGTGCACGTATAAACTTTTTTCATTTGACCTTTCAATTCTTCAATGACAATGAGGAAAATATATTTGGGTAATAGATATTAATATTAGCTCCAAGATTCTCTCTCTTTATAAGGTATCATTAAGAGTTATTTTAGCTTTTTTATTTTGAGAATAAAAATGTGGGTTACTGGTTTTATTTATTTATTTATTTAAGTCTTTTCTGGTTTATCTAGGGACGTTTGATAATTTTTAGTTTTCAGTTTTTAAAAAATAACTAAATTAGTTTTATTTTTTTAGAAAATAATGGTCCTATATGTTTGTGTTTTGTTCTTAAAAATAGATAATCAAATATGTTGGATACTATTTTTAGTTTTCTGTTTTAAAAAAGTTTGAAGATTGAGAGATTATTATACCAGAGAGAGAAAAATCCATGTAAAGGGATGGCTAGGATCTTGGTAAAAGTTGGGAGTGTTTAGTTCACTATTTTGCCATTGTTTACTAAGTCTTATTTTGTTAAAGCTTGAGTTTGTCAAGTCTGTTTTTGGTTCTGTTAAGTCTTTTGTATTTGGTTAAACTTGCTTTTTATTTTCTTTTTGAAAAATATAATTTATAAACTAAATTATTTTACAAAGTCAATTTTCTTATGAAATTAGGAAATATTATTTTAAGGAGATAAAAAATATTTGTAATACATTTGTCCATCTAATTTTTTTTTTCTGATTAAATTTTTACAATTTGAGTAATAAAAATTTGTATCTATTTAATTGTAAAATTATTATATACTCATATAAATAATGAGTTCTTTTTTAATAATATTTCATTTGTAATTCAGTAAAATTTGTTAATAAAATATATATTAACTATTTTAAAAATAGAATTGGGGATGGGTTGACACAGGATGGGAAATGAATTCCGGGTGATGCTTTGAGAACTTCTGTCATCAGATGCAAAAATAAAAGTTGATCGAAAAAAATTAAGATAAATTTTGAGAGACAGAGGGAAAAAACTAGAGGAAGAAAAGTTAGAAAAAAAACGATTAGTAAGAAAAAAAAAGTTAAAAATAAGATAAAAAGTTTTAGAAAGATTAAAGTTGAGAGTAAAAGCGCAAAAAAAGATAACTTGAAGTTTCTTTTATATATATATATATTATATGTATTGAAATGTGAGTATGTGATTATCAAACCACGACGTTTGTTCTTATTAGATTAATATTCAATAGCTAAACCAAAATGCTTAAAAATTAACTCATTAATACACTTTTAGCTTAACTTTCTTTGTCAAATTATACATTTTAACATATATGTTAATTTTTTTCTTTCTGCTATTAAAGGTTTTACCTCTACGTCTTGATCTATAAATTCGGACATTTTATTAAACACAATTATTTTGAAACTAATTTTAAAAATATTGTTGTTTTTATTTGGAGGGACCAAAACAAAACAAAAAAAATAGTTTTGCAATAATTATATTTAAATAATTAATTTGTTTTTACAATTAAAAAAAAAACTGAGTGAGTACAAAGAGAGAGTAAAATTTGAAATTACCGAAGTCCTTTTAATGTAATATTATGCGAAATTCTTATATATTTTCAAAATCGGTTCAGTTAATAACAATTATTTAAACAGAAGAATAATTGATTGAGCAAATAAGTATTTAATATAGTTAATAAGACAACTTGTTAATTGAAACTACTAGGCTAAAAATTTAATGGAATCGAAATATTTAATTTTTTTTTTCCATAAGCTGATTTTTTAATATTATACATTAATTTCAGCCTAAAGGACAAAAGGACAAAAGGGGAATAAAGGAAAATTAACGGTCAGTGTTGAACACCTCAGCGTCTGACATAAAAAATATAGTCAATACTCACTTATTTGATCCTACCAGAGAGAGAGAGAAAAAAAAGAATCATTTAATATGAAAAGATTAAAAAAAATATATATATCGTTGATTTATCTACAAATTTATTATAGAATAATGTTCCAAAAAACTTATTCGTCACAAAAGACGTATCTCTAAACATGACGTCAAATCTAATTAAAATATATATTTTTAAAAAAATCGACAACAGGTCGACATGCCGCTACCTAACATGGTCGTTTCTTTAAGAGATGATATACACTATTTTTTTAACCAATATATCTAAATTAATAGAGTAGTTAGATAGTTGTTATTTAATAAAGAGGGCATGAATTCAAGTCTCTATAATGTCCTAAATCTTAAAATATTATATTTGAATAAATTCAAAATTAACAATACTAAAAGAAAAAAGGTCCTAATATGAAGGAGCTAAACTAACTAATATATTAAAAATAATTTAATATGGTTTTTATTTTTAAAGACAATTAAAATTTTTGTGGCCTGGTAAGCTTGCAGATGAAAATATCCAAAATGACGCGGAGAAATAATTGATTGCCGCAAATCGAACCAATATCCGTTACACCGCCGCAATCAACGCCAATGTCGTTATTAGTTATTATATATTAATATATATATATATATATATATATTTTTTTTTACATAATTATTAT